TGCTGAAACCAAAGAAATGGAGCAGTAGAATGGGAAATGTGTGTGCGCGTGTGTGTGTGTGTGCATGTGCGCACACACACGCACACGCACACACACACACACACACATACACACAAGGTACTTGGGATCCAACTCAGGAATGTTTACACTAAGCTACATCCCCAGACCTTGCCTTTTATTTTGAGACAGGGCCTCTTTAAGTGCTAACTTGCCCAGGTTGGGCTGGAACTTTGGATCCTCCTGCCTCAGCCTTCCAGAGGGCTGTGAGCAGAGGCATGTACCACCATGCATGGGTTAGAATTGCAAACTTCGAGAAGAGATGCTCTTAGATGGCCCTCTGGCCCCAGTGACACTTGTTTTATCCACAATGATAACCAGCGGGGGTGGAAAGCCCAGAGCAGACGGGGTAGGTGCAGATGATGCCGGTGATGCTGTCAATGGGGTTTGGGCTGAAGCAGGGGTGTGAGTCCAGGTCCATGAGGCCCAGCCCGCTGGGAGTCACAGCAGGGTGCTGCTGAGACTTATGTATAGTGAGGGACAGGCCACGCACGCATGCATGGAGACACTTACAAAATCAACAGGACTTACAAACAATTTAAAACAGAAATGTACTTATGTCTAAAGGAGTTGATTTTCAATTCATGGGGCAGACTCTTTTGGATGGAACAAGCAGTACTCCGAAGCCAAGTCTACAGAAAGCAACAAAACACTGGTTTTACAAACTGCTCTTTCCTTGAGAAATAGATCCTTTATTGTAAAGGCCCCTTTAAGGCAAGTGCCACTCCTAGGGTGAAGCAGTTTAGTCTGAAGAATAATCAAGCCAAAAACAGTACCACGAATGTTAAGTACTCCTGAATTGGGAGCACTCCAAACTTTTCTGTGGCTCCCCACTGCCCTCAGAATCAAAGTACAAAGTCAGTCTGTGTGTGTGTGTGTGTGTGTGTGTGTGTGTGTGTGTGTGTGGTACTGGGGACTGAACACAGGTAGTGCTCAGTTATATCCCCAGACCTCTTTAGCTTTTATTTTTTTTTTTTTTTGAGACAGGGTCTCACTATGCAGTTCAGGCTGGCCTTGAACTCGCTATGTAGCCCAGGCTGGCCTCAAAGTCCTAGCACTCCTCCTGCCTCAGCCTCCCATGCTAGGATTACCAGAGTGTGCCACCACTTAAAATTTTTAGATAGAGTTTTACTATGTTGCCCAGACTAGGCTTGACTTTATGATCCTCCTGCTTCAGCCTCCTGAGTGGCTGGGGTCACAGTCGTGCACCACTGTACTTAGCCAAAGTGCACTCTTGGTCCTAGGTGAGGTGGGTCCTCACCACCATTACAGCTTCCGTTTCCCTTTCTGGACCCAAAGCCCTGTCTCCAGGCCTCATGCGTTCATGAAGCCGCAGCTCCAGAGGTTCTGTGGCCTTCTAGGTGCCTCCCTGAGCTGTTCCTGGACTCCTCACCCACACCATGTCTCCAACTATCCCTTACCATCTCTCCTAAGCCAGCTCATTTCAGGGACAGCCGTCCAGTCCATTCTTTTTCTCACTGAGTCTACTGGTGTCCCATCCATTTTTCAGGTCTCTGCCTGGCACCACCTCTCTAGGAAGCCTTCCTCAGTTCCTTCGACCCCAGGCTTGTCCTGGCCCCCGACACCTCGTCCAGCTGGCCTCCTGAGGATCTGTCTCACTCGTCCCTCTTCCAGCTCCAACCTGGCCTCCACTACCTTCCTCAGTGCCCAGCTTTCACTCAATACTTCCAGCCCCTGCCCCAACCTGAACTCGACTTGTCCCTCTCCTGCTCAAACTCTCTGTGGCTCCCTAGTGTCCTGAGAACAACGTCCCAGCTCCTCTCTGTGCTCCCAAGGCCTCAGATGACCCTTCTAACTCTGCCAATGACTCCGTGGCTCATCCTCCCGTCATGCTTTACATCTGGCCACACTAAATATCTTTTAGTTCCTTCAATCAAAACCACACTTTTGTCACCAGACCTCTAGTAGCTGCTCCTGCACAACACACCTTCCCCCCCTTCCATGCTGCTCACTCTTCTCAGCCCTGGCATCACCTCCTCCAGGAAGACCTGGACCCCCAGGCTGGTGCAGGCACCTTCTCCGGCATCCCACAATCCCCCGCACTGTCTCCATCCCATCCCATCTGTGCCTCCCTGAACCCGGCCCTAACCTCTCTGGGCTGTCACTGCCTGTAGATGAGTCTTTCTCACTGGGCTGGGCTGTGAGCCCCAGGAGGGCAGGGCAGGTCTGTTTCAGTCACCACTGTGTCCCCAGTACTGGGTGCTCAGCGGCCAGTTCATTCATCTACCCACTTAGCCAAACTTACTGGCTACTCCCTGAGAAGCCCTGGTCCAGGAACTGGGGATGCAGAATAAAAAACAGGGCACAGTTGTGTATGCCTGTAACAGAGGCACTCTGGGAAGCCGAGGCAGAGGACTGCGAATTCCAGTCCAGTCTGGGCAACTTAATGAGCCTGTGTCTGAAAATAAAAAAATAAAAAAGGGCTGGGAATATACATAGTTCAGTGTAAAGGCCCTGGGTTCAATCCTCCTTACTTTCGTGCCCCCCCGATCTCTTTAAAGATGGTCCTGGAGGGACCATAACTGAGTGACATCTATGGCGTCACAAATGAAAATGTGAAAATGTGATGTCCTTGCTCAATCAGAACAACAGGACAAGTCTGGGGCAGGCAGCATTATACTTGCTCTTCAGATAAGAGTCAGGGCTCAAGGGCATCACCTGCTCAGGTTGCATGGCATCGGTGGCTTGGATGGAAATCTGAAACTCAAGTTCAGTTCTGTTCCAGAACACGATAATAGCAAATAAGAAAATACACCAGCTGGGCATAGCAGCCCATGCCTGTAATCCAGTGATTTGGAAGGCTGAAGCAGGAGGATCGAGAGATCAAGGATAGCCTGGACAACTTTAAAAGACTCTTTTTCAAAATTTAATTGGACTGGAGATTTAGCGCAGTGGTGCTGACACCTGCCTTGCAAGCACAAGGAGCCAAGTTTGATCCCCAGTATAAAAAAAAATTTTTTTTTTAAATGCAGGCTGGGGATGTAGCTCAGTAGTAAAGCACTTGCCTAGCATGTGCAAAGCCCTTAGTTCAATCCCTAGCACCACAGAAAGACAAAATAAAACAAAACAAAAAAACCCAAATCCCAGAAAGGTTGAGTTATTGGTACCAGGGGACACAGCCAGGAAAGGGTGAGCCAGGTTTTGAACTCAGAGTGTCTCAGGCTTCCAGGAACAGATGCTCCTTGCCAGCTGCCTGTCCTGTTTATAAGCGGTAGCTCCACAGCTCCCTGCAAGCAGCTAACCCAGTGGTAGCTTTGGTCTCAAAAACCCTAGCAACACTCTATCCCTCCAAATCTGCTGGAGCACTTTGCAGCACCGTACGAACATAAAGGATATAGACGTGCAAAGTGAAGAGGGCTCTGGCTCTCTTTCCATCAAGGCTGCCACTTGCCAATCCACCCTCAGTAGAAATTCTGGAGCTGACCCTGCTTGGCATGACAGCTTTATGTCACGTTGGATTCCACCTTTCCTCTGCTCCAAATCCTCCTGTGGCTCCCTCACTTGGAGGAAAAGTCAGTCTTCTCCATAGCTCATAAGACTGCACAAAATGCTCCATCTGTCCTCCTACTCCTCTGGCCCCTCACTGGCTTCCCTGCTTGTCCTTAAATATCCCAAGCATGCTCCAATCCCTGAACCTCTGCATCTGTTATCTCTGCCTACAGTGCCCTTCTCCCCAATAGCCACACCACTCTTTCTTCTTCAGCAAGTCTTTGTCCACTTGTCACTTCTCAGAAAACCTTCCTGGACTTCCCTACTTAACACTACAGGCCAGGAGGACAGCTTAGCACGAGAGTACTTGCCTCGCACATGCCAGGCACTGTGTTTGTCAATGCCCAGTGCTACAAGTGACCATGACTATGGATCCCCCTTCTAACACGAGATAATCTTCTTACCTACATACAACGTTTGTTCATTGTCTCTTACCCCCAGTACAATGTTAACCCTGTAAAGCCAGGGATTTTTTGTTTTGTTCATTGATTTGTTCCCAGTGCCCAGTACAGTGCTGAGAATGCAGTACATGCTTAAGGGATGTGTTGAATGAATAATCTGTCTTCATTGCCATATTGGAGATGTGCTAAGTGAGACACAGGCAACTTAAGCCACATGCATAAGGTGGTCCTGCAGCTCTTTAAATTCTAAGAAACAAGACTGGAACTTGAATGTTCCATCCTCCAGGACCAGATTACTAACCACTGTACCACACTGCCTAAAATAAGCTGAGTGATTAAGATACATACCTCTCCACCTAGGGAGGACTGCTGGGGGCTGAAGTGTGGGGGCCCTGCCTCACCTCTCTGTACCCCAAATTCTAGAAGTTCAGGAAGATCTGAGTCTAAAATACTTATGACCTCCACTTCCAAGCCCTCTTCGACTCCCACAGTAGCTCTTATTTCGGGGGTGAGGTGTGCGTGACTCAATCCAACAAGATAAAGAGGGTTTAACTGTTTACAAGGCAGGCTCCATGATGGCCAATGGGTCATTAAGGTGTGGCTAGTGGCAGAGGTGTTGGCAATGTGGAGATGGTGGGGTGGCCTAACTGCTGAGGTAGAGGTCGTCGTGCCATTGTGGAGTGTGGTGCCAGGTGAATGATGCATGCAGGTGCGGGCTGGGGAGACTGGAGGAGGGTGAGGGTGCCATGTTCAATAACGATATTAGCCCCAAATGCCAAGGCAAGCCGAGCGCATGACAAGAATAAATTAGGAGGTTCTTCACACTGATCCAGACGTGGGTGTTCTCGCGTGCATTTTACAGATGAGGTAGCTGGGCTGGCTGGGAGAGACTCGCTCAGGTGGCCAAGGTTACCCAGAGGTTTAGAGGTGGAGCTGGATACTGGCACAGCCCAGGCCATGGGCTCTAACTGCTCAGTGGGCGTATGTGAAACCTGACACGGGAAAGGGTGGAAACCTGGAGGGAAGAAAAACAGCTGCAAGACTGCATGGCTCCTCGTAGGGAAAACGAGGGCTTGAGACACGGAGGGACGGTGACTGTCCTAGGAGCGATGGTGACAGGGGAGCGACGGAGACATAAAGGGCAAGGATGACAAACGGGGTGTGTGAGCACGATCGAAGGTCTAAGGGGAGGAGCTGCGACAGGTCTGAGAAGTGGGGTATGGGGACGATTCAGCAGCAGAGACTTCACGAAGGAGAAATGGTAACAAAGATGAGCGCTGGTGACAGAAGTCGGTGACGATAAAGAAGGGAGACAGCACAAATGGTGGCAGTGAGGGTTTACTGAGAACCAAAGCGATTTTTTTTGTACCGGGGAGCGAACTCGGGCCCTTGCTCTTTCGAGGCAGGCGCCGGAACCACTGAGCTAAATCTCCGGCCTCCAAGGCGATTTTAAGGGGCTAAGGAGGACATAAGGAGGGTGTTGGCAACAGAAGAGGGGTGATGACGGGTTAAGCGGGATACGACTTAAGAGGAGGAATGAAAGACATAAATGGACCGAGGGCGACAAAAGAGGAGGATGCATTAGGGACGACAAGGTAACAACACAAGGAGGGCTGACAAGGGGAGGTGCCCCCAGATCGCACGGTACCTGCGCTCCCGAGTCTCCCACTTCGGGATCGGCCCAGCACGAACCTCCTAGTCTCGAACCCCACCTTCCTTCCCCACCTGCGCGCAGGCGCACTCCAGCTAGACTGCGGGCTGGTGGGGCCAGGCCTGCGGCTTTCTCATTGGCTGCGCTTCTCGCTCCGCGCTAGCCTTCCTTCTGCGCGCAGACTGCGGGCTGGTGGGGCCAGGCCTGCGGCTTTCTCATTGGCTGCGCTTCTCGCTCCGCGCTGGACGGAGGAAACAGCTTGGGCTAGACCAAGGGAGACCGCGCGAGGTCACGTGACTCGCGGACTCGCTCTCGTTGGGGGCCGCCTGGTGGGCTAGAGCGGCCTTGGGTGGTCTCGTCCGGTTTCCGGCGGTGAGACGGAACTTCCGGGGCGGGGACCCGGGGCGAGGGAGGAGTGTCCGACAGTTGGCGCCGTCGGGAGGGTGGTGGGCGGCGCGAATGGGCGCGGGCTCGGTGGGCCAGGTGAGGCTCGGTCTGGGAATAGTGGGACGGGGCCGGATGCGGCGGGGGGGGGGGGGACTCTGGAGTTACAGCCTGGGCTCCGCTCTGGGGGTCTAGACAAACGATTTCTTTCTCTGAGCCTCAGTTTCCTCCTCTGTAGAATGGGGGTCAGGATCCGACTGTGTATGCGCTTTATGGGTTGAATGAGAAGTGCACGTCTCAGCCCCTAGCTCAGCACCTTCACCTAGTGCTCACCTCGTTTCTGTACCATTATTGTGAGCACTGATTATGATTGCGCCGGGAGTGAGATTGTTGGGCTTGGAGGCCAATGGCTTTGGGTTCAAGTGTCAGCTGCTCTGTACGGCAGTCGGCCTGTGCTTTAACTTTCTGGATCTTAGTTTCCCCCCTTTTCTAGTGAGGGCTAATAGGGTCAATGAATGGATTTTGATGCAACGTACACGTAAAGCCTGTAGCAGTGCAAGAGCTCAACAGATTGGAGCTAAAATGATATATAACTCCAAGTGTCATTATTGTAGCCGGCAACTCCAAGAAAGTACAGAAGGGAGAAAGCTTAGGAAAAGCAACCCGAGCAGGGAAATCGACATCCTGCCACTTAACTCTTTGGCCGAGTTTTCCCAAGTCTTGTAATATAATTTTTTTCTTTCTCTTGAAAATGACTGCTGCATTTTCCTAAGTTTATTCAAGGGGGAAAATTCACCTTGCTATCCTAAAGGGAAATTAACATTGAGAAGGAAACCTTAAGCAGAACACAGTGGAAAACGAATAGTCTATTGAATCGTAAACAGTAAATGAAAGCTAATTGTAAAATGGATAACTATATGGCAAATGATCAAAAAATACAGTGTATGTTGAAAGTTTTCAAAATTGCCATCTGTAGTGGCACATGCTGAAAGCTGAGCGTTTGGAAGGCTGAAGAAGGATTGCTGTGAGTAGGAGGCCAGCCAGGGCTGCACAGTGAGACCTGGTCTCAATAATAATAATTTTAAGAATTATTACAGTCAAAGGGATATTCCCATTAATCTTCCTTAGTACCCTCCCCCTTGATTCAAATACATTTGCCCCATGGTTCTTGCACTTGCTGAAGCAGTTCTGAAAGTCCTTTTTCGTGAGTGTCTTTCATTATACTGTTGTGGCTGCTTCAGTGTCCTGAATCGATTCAAAATGTTTACCTTGCGTGGTCATTTTGACTTTGGGGGAGAGCCAGAAGTTGTGTGGTGCCAGAGGTGGTGGTTAAGGTGAACGAAGATACATCACAGTGTTTTTGTTTCAGGCTGACCTTGAAATCACTGTGTAGCCCAGGTTGGCCTGGAACTTGCAGTGACCCTCTTATCTCAGCCTTCTGAGTGCTGGGCTACAGATGTGCACCACCACACTCGACCCTTATTTTTAAATTTTGAAACAGGGTCTCACTAAGTTGCCTGGTTGACCAGCTGGGTTCAAACTTTCAGTAAATTACTGTTTTATTAATTTCAATTTTTTAAATAAAAAGTCAAGATATATCGTGCATGTACAAGTACAAATTCCCTGTGATGATATTGTACCAATAAACTTAATAAAGTAAAAAGGTTTCAACTATTTAGAATAGTTACCTGTAGAGATGGGCTTTTATTTTATTTTATTTTTTTGGTACCAGGAATTGAACTCAGGACCTTGTGTTTACAAGGCAGGCATGATGCCACTGAGCTACAATCCCCAGCAGGAGATGGGATTTTAAAATGGTAGACGCCAGGCGTGGTGGCGCATACCTGTAATCCCAGTACTCCAGAGGCTGAGGCAGGAGGATCACTGGGAGTTTGAGGCCAGCCTGGGCTACATAGTTCAAAGCTAGCCCGACTACATATAGAGACCCTGTCTCAAAACAAAATAAAATAGTACAGAGAGGAGTTGGGCATGGTGACCCATACCTGTAATTCCTGCACTTGGCAGGCAGGAGGATCACTACCAGTTCAAGACCAATTTGAACCACGTAGGGAAACTGTTTCAAAGAGAGAGAGAGATGGTGGAGGAAATTGAGAACAGTAGAAATTCTGCAGCAGTGGGGGAAGAATACCAACACTTAAAGGATTCTAAGCATTAAATGAGACCTTTCAGTGGCAGACCACAGTGCCTGGTTCATAGCAATCCTGCAGTGAGCATCTACAATAGCTGTTGGGCTGACTGGAGTTCAAGTTGCAGCCCTGCTGTTACTTACTGTGTGACCTTGGACCTGCCACTCTCATTTGTTTTTGTAACTTTTTTCCCCTCACTTTTTTCCCAGCTGGCTGTGAGAATGAGATGTATGTATACTCAGTTTCTGGCATGTTATAAACACTCAAAAGGAGCAACTCCATGGGCATCAGAATCAAGGAGAGCTTGTTTTTGAATCCTAGTAAGGTCAGTTGCTAGATGTGACATGTGACAAATGACTGTTACTCACTGGGTCGGGTATTTATTGATTAAAATGGGGCTAATAATAGTCATCCCTCATGAGGCTGTTGTCAGACATCAGCATGACACTTGGCTCTGGGCTTGGTGTATTTAGTGCTTGGCGTGTGAGTTGTTCTGTCTGCCTTTTAAAGACCTCTCCATACCCTGCTCTTTGAGAGATGCCTGCCTCATTTGTTTGTCCAGCAGTAAAACCCAGAAGAGAAAGTCAACCCTAGAGTGTCAAGGGCAGAGTCAGCGATGTATATGGTAGTTCTTATCATTCTGGGATCAACAGAAACCAGACAAAGACAAGAGAAATACTACCTAGGATTGAGGAGAGAGGCTTGGAGTAGGACTTAGAGAAAGCATCACAAAGCAGGTGACAGCCAAGCAGAGGAAAGAGAGCTTGCCAGAAGGACAGTAGGACATAGGCATTCCGGACATCCTGAGTCAAAACTGGGAGACAGCCTGGGTGCAGTGATGTGCATCTGGAGTCCCAGCTGCTTGGGAGACTGAGGCAGGAGGATCACTTGAGCCCAGGAGTTTGAGACCAGCCTGGGCAACATAGCTACCAGTAGAGCCTGTCTCAGAAAACTAAATAAAACAACATAAGGCTGGGAGGTAGAGAACCCGGTGGACAGGGAGTGTTGGGCGGGAGGGCTGGGCGGTGGGTCTCCTTCGTAGACACCAGGCACTATCTCTGTATCTTGTCCATAGGCGCTCACCTCACTGTCACAGCAGTCTGCCAAGGTGATACTTGTACCATCCTGATTCATAGATGGGGATACCAAGGTCCATCTGGTGAAGTTACTTGCCAGTGCTGCACACTCAGTTTTACCGTCAAAGTGGGTGTGACATTCCTTTCCTTTAGTTCTTTTGTTGTGTTTATTTATTGAGACAGGCTCTCCTAACCTCAAACTCATGGTGATCCTCCTGCCTCAGCCTCCCTCCCAAGTGCTGGAATTACAGGTGTGTGCCTCTACGCCTGGCTTTTTTTTAGTTCCTTTTCTTTCTTTCTTTCTTTTTTTTTTTTTTTTGTTACTAGAGATCAGACTTGGGCCCTTGTACTTATAAGGCAGGTGGTGGAACCACTGAGCCAAATCCCCAGCCCCTTTTAGTTCCTTTTCAACACTGCTGTTCATGTCCAGAGAAAGTCCCCATTGGTGCTGTTTCATCTTCCATCTCTTAAGATCTGCTAGTCTAAGTGAACATTGGTTCAGTGGTTTTCCCTTTCTTTCCCTTTCTTTCGTTTTGTTTTTGTTATTTTTGAGTCAGGGTCTCACTATGTAGTTGAGACTGACCTGGAACTCACTATGTAGCCCAGGCTGGTCTCAAACTCACAGCGATCCTCCTGCCTCAGCCTCCCGAGTGCTGGGATTACAGGTGTGCGCCACCATGCCTGGCTGCATTATTTTTCTTCTTCCAGGAATTGAACCCAGGGCCTTTACTCTAAGCTATATTCCAGCCCTTTTTTTATTTTGAGGCAGAGTCTTATGGAGTCACCAAGTTGCCTATGCTGGCTCCAACTGGTGATCCTCCTGCCTCAGCCTCCAAGAGTGCTATGAGGCTTCACCATGCCAGGCTTCTCCATGTCACTTTAGGTGTTCTCTGATCACCCTATTGGAAATTGCACCCCTCCCCACCCAGGCCCCACATGTTTCTACCACAAAACTGATAGCTTCTGCCACTGTTAACCATGCTGTGAATTATTCGGCGTGTTTACTCTGTTTCCCATGCCCTGTGCCCAACTGCATGCTAGGCTCATGTTTTTGCTGCCTCAGGATCCCCAAGTCCCTCACGTGTAGTGGGCTCTGAGTAAATAGTGTCTGAATGAACTGAATGAATGAATGGGTATTTACAGTGACAGTCTTGGGTAGAAGCTGTCTCTTTTCTGTTCCACCAGACTTTTCCGGGTGTGTGGGATTGGGACTGAACATTTCCTGCCCCCGGGCCTCACCCCAGGCAGGCGTGATAGCTGTGGTGGCAGCTCTGTCCTGGGCTGACGTCCTGCCAGCTGCTCAGCTATTCCTGGGTAGTGAGCCCTAGCCCAGGAATGCTCCTCTGGCAGGCAGAGAGGCCGACAGCAGAGAGGGACACGAGCTCTCAGTGGTGGCCACTCATGGGCCCTCTTCCTTCATTCTCTTTTCCAGGCTCCCAGGAGCAAGGTCAAGGCCAGAGCGACGATGGTCTCAGTGACGATGGGTGAGTCGGGCTTTCCCTGCCTTCCTGTTGCCTTCCCTGACATGCAGCCTCGGAGCGGGAGTCTTCGCTGGGGGGAGCGGGTGAGGGAGGGCGGCCACACTGGCAGGAGCAGCTGTCCTCTGACCAGGCTGGGGCGGGGCGGGGCCTGCTCCAGTTGCCTGCCCCTTCCTCGGATGGGGCCTCCTGACTGTGAAGTTTTAGCGCTGAAGAACTTGGGTTGTGAAGTCTAGCAGATCTCCCACCTGGCTTCTCAGAGCCTTGGTTTACTCACCTGTAAAATGAAGATAATATTACTACCTCTGAGGCTGGGGATTTAGCACAGTGGCACTACACCTGCCCCACAAGCACAAGGTCCTGAGTTCGATTCCAGGTATAAAAAAAAAATCTCTCTCTATATATATCTGTCTCCTGGGATTTAGGAATTTATTGCATGTCAGATCTTGGGCATAGTTCTCAGCAAATGCTAACTGTTGTGATTTTGTTTTTACTTGTGTAGTGTTTTGTTAGAGGCAGGGTCATGCTGTGTAGTTCAGGCTGGCCTTGAATTCACTATGTAGCCCAGGCTGGCCTTGAACTCACAGAGATCCTCCTGTCTCAGCCTCCCTCATGCCCGGCTAACTGTTGTGATTATCATGAGCCTTATCAGGAGTTCTCTCTGTGCTGTGTATTTTGGTATTGCCAAGGTACATAGACTAGTGGCAGCTTTGAAAAATGTTGAGATTTATTATACTTACATAAAAGTATGTAAGACGTATTTGCGTTGTTGTAAGAGTAATTAAAAAGCAAACATATCCTTTATGATTCTATTTCTATTCATCACAGAAGCAGGAAACCAATCTCTTCTTTGTTTTTTTTTTTTTTTTTTTTTTTTTTTTTTTTTGGTACCAGGGATTGAACTCGGGACCTTGTGCTTGCGAGGCAGGTGGCAGCACTGAGCTAAATCCCTGGCCCCAATCCATTCTTGTAGAAGGCAGTGACTTCCCTTGGGAAGGGAGGAGTAGTGGGGACAGAGAGAAGCCAGGGGGCTCTGGTGTGTTGGAAATGTTTTATTTCTTCTGTTTGTTTGTTTTTGAGACAAGGTCCTGCTATGTAGTTCAGGCTGGTGTTGAACTCATGGCAATCCTCCTGCCTCAGCCTCCCAGAGTGCTGGGGTTATCAGTGAAGACTCATGTATATTTCCTCCTGGTATGTGCTGATTCTAAGACATGTTGTTCCGAAGTAGGTCTACATTTGAACAGTCAGTGGCTTATGACGGTTTAACTGGCCCATGCTTTTATCTTCTTAGTAACATGGGAATGATGAGTGTTCCATGTGAGGCCTTTCCAAGATCCTTGGACAGTGGCTTTCTGTTTCTTTTTCCTGAACCTATATGGTGCTTTTTCTGTCCTTAATCAGAGATTAATTGAGATACAGCTCATAGACATGTATTTTGTCAGTTTCAATTGTACAATTCTAGGGCTGGGGATTTAGCTCAGCGGTTCGGTGGCCTGACTTGCAAGCGCAAGGACCTGAGTTCAATCCCCGGTACCAAAAAAAAAGTACAATTCTATGGTTTTTACATTCTCTATTCAGAGCTGTATGACCACCACCGCAATCTGTCGCAGAACATTTTTAGCACTCTCCAAGAAGATCTCCAAGCCCATCAGCAGTTTTTCCCTCTTTCTTCCCGACCTCTAGCAACTTTCTGCCTCTTTAGGTTTGCATGTTCTGAGCAGTCCCTAGACATGGAACTGCTGTGCGGTGCGTGCTCTTTGGTACTTAGAGGGGCTTGCTCTTGACTAATGGAACACAGGGCCCTGTGGCTTGGCAGGTGGGCAGTGCCTGTGTAAACGAGGGGAATGGCCTCCCTCTCCCCTGGGCTGGGGAGGTGGTCTTGAGGGCACCAGCTCCTCCCCTGCCCCAGTCCCCATAGCTCAGGCCGTTGGCTGGTCTGGGTCTTTGTGGGAGAAGAGTGGCCCCTGGGCCCGCGCCCGAGCCCTGTGTGCCTTCTGGAAATTGTCAGACCCTGAGTGTGTTTGCTTCTCAACTCAGAGCCTCAGTTCACTTAAAAGGAAAATTAGCAAAGTGACACCAAATGTTTTCTACTCTAAAATGGCGTAGATTGATAAGGTGTGCTCTTACATACCATGAGGTTAAAATAAGTTGCCAGTGAAGCCATGGCACTCCTCAGAGATGTTAAAATGTGACAAAAAGCCAGGCGTAGTGGTGCACGCTTGTAATCCCAGCACTCAGGAGGCTGAGGCAAGGAGATCGCCTTGAGTTGGAGGCCAACATAGAACTACAAAGTGAGACCCTGTCTCAAAAAAAAGAGGAAAAAGTGAAAAAGAAAGTGTTCTACTTGGGATCACTGCTTCTATCTGACACCTGGCCTAACAGACCTTGGTCAGTTTGAGGCTGGCACCCAAAGGGCCAGGAAGGCAGTGTGGAAGCGGTGAAGCCTCACGGTGGGCCTGCCGTGGCCCCGTGGCTTTCATGGCGGTGGTACTGAGGGTCGCACCCAGAGCCTCCTGTGCGCTTAGCGTGTGTTGCCCTGCTGAGCTGCACCCCTGCCCAGCTCTGTTGAGTAACGGTAGTAACCACAACAGTAATGGTTGACACGGTGGAGGACGGCCTTGCACGGAGTCCGCACAGCGACCCAAGGGCATCGGTGCTGTTAACTTTAAACCATCACTGTGAGGGCAGGGACTTCATCTTCTGCCCTACAATATCCGCACCGTCTGGAACAGGACCAAAGCCCCTGAGACAGGAAATGGCAGAGCTCAGATTTGAACCCAAGCCCCAAAGCCTGGGCTGGTACCTCCAGTGCCTCTCTCTAACGCATGGCTGCTCCTGTGGTGGAAGAGAGTGCCTGGTCCTCCTGATGGGGACCAGGGCAGAGAACCCAGAGGCTTAGTTTCCTCACATCTGTCACTGGCCAGGTGCTTGGAGTCCCATCCTAGCTCCAGGGCAGGGCAGAGCTGTGCAGAGACTGACAACTGGTTGAGATTCAGGGTTGGGGGACTCTGTCTTGTTAGCATTGTACCCTGCAGCTGAGTCCTCCCTGCCTCAGCTTCCTCATGGGATTCCAGTCTCCACGTGGCTTAATTCTCCAGGGGTCAGGAGGGCTTCATTCCACCCTCTGTGCCCAGCACTCAGCACAGGGCCTGGTGGGCAATGAGCCTTGAATCTGTGGGAGCCACTGCTGTTGCAGTTTTGCTAATCTATTCTCTAAAGTGACCGATGTGAGTAACGAGCCCTGTTTAACCCCCAGCCACTTCCGAGTGGATCCAGTTCTTTAAGGAAGCTGGCATTCCCCCGGGACCTGCCGTGAATTACGCTGTGATGTTTGTGGATAACAGGTGAGGTGGCCACCGGACCCGGCTGAGCTTGGGCAGGGGAGGTGGGGAGCCGGCTGCCTCACCCGCCATGGCCCACTTGGGGCTCACTGCTCCCCGTCCCCTGCAGGATCCAGAAGAGCATGCTGCTGGATCTCAACAAGGAAATCATGAACGAGCTGGGCGTGACCGTGGTGGGGGACATCATCGCCATCCTCAAGCATGCCAAGGTGGTGCACCGCCAGGTGGGTGCTCCGCCTGCACCCTGTGCCACTGGTTTAGCATGGGGCTGAGGGGAGCAGGTGCAGAGCCAGCAGGAGGCCTGGCCTCAAAGGCAGGTGGACTTCAGTTTGGCCTTTGCGATGTGACAGAGGGTCCATTGTCTAACCCTCTCAGAGCCTTATCTCTGCCTATGAGAAGCAGGTGGCCAACATCTGGAAGGGTAGGTGTGTGTATTGAGTTAGCACAGTACACACTTCCTAAAGCAGGGCCTGGTGAAGCCTCCGTAGTTACTATGATTATCACGGGTTCTCATCTTCTCCGTGGTAATTATCATCTCTCTCTAGGACCCCCTCTGCCCCAGGAGCTAGGGGCAGGCTGGGCAAGTTCTCTACCACCGAGCCACACCCCCAGCCCAATCTTGACAGTTCTGAAGAATACTGGTTGAATATTTTGTGGAATGTTCCCCTGTATGGGTGTATGTGACACCTTCTCCTGGTGAGGTGCAAAATGTTTTCACATCTTTTCTGTAGCAGGCACGCAAGCTCTGGTCCTCGGGGTGTGGCTGCCTCTCCATGCCTGGCTCTGTGGTGCTAACCCAGGTGTCTCTGTTTTACAGGACATGTGCAAAGCTGCCACTGAATCAGTGCCCGGCAGCCCCAGCTCCCCCCTCCCGACTGAGCTACGTCGTGGCACCTCTAGTGGTGAGTCCTGTCTCTTCAGTCCTTTTTCCCGTCCCTACAAGGGACCTACCCGGTCATCCCTTCCCTCCTGTTGTTTGCCGAGGTACAAGCAAAGCCCTCAGGACCTGTTCTGTAAAGGAGAAAAATACACTGGGTAGTCAGCGCTCCTCTTTCAGGCCGCTTCGTTTGCTGACCCGGTGAACACACAGCACGGTGATGGCAAACCTTTTAGAGACGAGTGCCCAGACTAAAACAACCTAAAAACCACTCATTTATTGCCAATTGCCAACACTGCAATTAAACCTGAATACTGAGAAAAAACACTTGTGGGCCGGAGATTTAGCTCAGTTGTACTGCCACCTGCCTTGCAAGTGCAAGGTCCTGAATTCTATCCCTGGTACCAAAAAATAAAAGAAGAAAAAAAAAAAGCAACTCTCATACATTGACATCTTTTGTTTTAAAAGAAAAACAGCCGGGCGTGGTGACGCACGCCTGTAATCCCAGCACTCGGGAGGCTGAGGCAGGAGGATCGCTGTGAGTTCGAGACCAGCCTGAGCTACACAGTGAGTTCCAGGTCAGTCTCACTACATAATGAGACCCTGTCTCAAAAAACCAAAAAAGGAAAACAAATACCCGTGTGCCATAGGCTCGGGGTTCACTTCCTGCGAGACTCCAGTCGCGGCACTTTCATCAGCTGATCAGTATGGAACTAACTTCATTTTGTTTTGTTTATTTATTTATTTTTGATAGTGCTCAAGATTGAACCCAGGGCCTCATACACACTAAGCACATGTTCTCCTACTGAGCTGCAGTCTCAGCCTGTATAATCTTGTGTTCTTCCACCCTTTCTCCTCCCCTTCCCTCCTTTGTGTGGTACTAGAGATTGATCCCAGGGCCTTGGCACTGAATCTACATCTTCAAATGAATGTTGATGAAGATTTTAAAATTGACCATGCACATGTTAGCCTTTGCTTCTTCACGTGCCACCCCGAAGCTCTGCTGCCACAGCCTCTCAGAGCGCTGGGATTACGGATGTGTGCCACTGTGCCCAGCAATACCTGCTCTTACCTGACTGACCAAAGCAAGGGCTGTGGCTAGGCCTATGGAATGCGTGTGGCGGGGTTGACCCAAAGGCACAGATGCAGGCAAGCTGAACAAATCTGGACTCATTTCTACAGTAGTCCTGCAGCAGTTATACAGAATGGGGTTGGTCACAGTGGCTTTCACAGATGGGCACTTGGGCCAGCCACCATCCAAGAGCAGACACGGTGGCAGCATGAAGATCATCCCCTTCCCTTTACTCCAGGGCTTCCCCAAGTCCCGGAAAGCCTGTATTCCACTGTTAGCAGCAACTGCGCTGAGAGATGAGACCCGTCTGCCCCGCTCTGGGATGGCCCTCCAGTCGCCGTGCTCCCAGTTCCCACCTGCACACCCCGAGCTGTCCCTCCTGTCCACAGGAGCCTGGCGGCCAGAGATGCCTGCCATCCCCAGAGGGGCCACCTCGCTGCTATGCCAGTCCCGCTAGAGCTGCACGCACTTTGCTCAGCTCGGTTTCCTTATCTGTAGGGTTGGCTTGTGGTGGGTCCGTCCTATCGGGGATGTTGGTGGTGTCAGTGCTTTCAAGCAGGTGCCCATTGCTTCAGTAGACATTTATCGGGGACCTGTGAAGGGGCAGTAGTTGTTCTAGGCACTAAGGATTCACCAGTAAACAGACCCTATTTCCTCGTGGAGCTTGCATTCCCATGGGGGAGTCCACCAGGAGACAACCAAATACAGTCTCCTGCCAAGCAGTGCTAAGGACTGTGTAGAAAAGGAAAGCATAAAGCCAGGCACGGTGACCCACGCCTGTAGGCCCAGCATTCGGGAGGCTGAGGCAGGGGGATTGCTAGAGTTCGAGACCAGCCTGGGCTACATAGTGAGTTCTAAGTCAGTCTCAACTACATAGTGAGACCCTGTCTCAAACAAAAGAAAAGGAAAGCATAGTGTGGGTCAGGGTGACAGAGGGGAAGGGCCGGTTCCTGGGGAGCAAGCCCCCTCCAAGTCCCCACACCTTGAGGACAGGGCAGCCACAAGGGTGGATTGGCCACCACTTCTTCCTTCAGTGCAGTGCTTGCCTTTTCCACCCTGGCCTTGGGACTGCTGGACCAGGCTTTCTGCCCGGAGCCTGCCTGACTGGCCTCTCCCCTTGCTTTCTGCAGCTGCCTCCCGAATGATCACCAACAGCCTGAACTGCGACTCCCCACCCGGCACTCCCCCAAGGCGGCCGGACACCAGTACCTCCAAGATCTCAGTCACTGTGTCCAACAAGATGGCGGCAAAGAGTTCCAAGGCCTCCGGTGAGAGGACTGGGACGGGTGGTGGGAGGAGCTAGGTGTGAATGTGGGTCCGCGGAAGGTACTGGGGGGGTCGTGCTCCCAGGCGCTTGCTAGGTGCTTTGACGGCCACAAGGTGCACAAAGTTTTGGACTCAGTCACATTTTTGGTTTGTGGGCCTCGCTTCTGCATTTCTAGACTGGCACAGTGATGCCCTCACTGCAAGGACAGCAGCAAACACTGGGCAGGTGAGGCACAACTGCGTCACACTTCCTGCTCAGTGGCTCCGGCTTTTGTCACAGCTGTACACTGTGCCCCGACTGATGTCCGATGCTGTACCTGATGCTTGGGGTCAGCAGTAAAGAACCTGTAGCAGCCAGACAGGTTTTTACCCTTTGACACATTTTGAAGGGACTCCTACTTTACAAATTGAAGTGGAATTTACTCTTGCACAGTGCCCAGATGGGAAGTACTGTATACAGCTTGTTTACCAAAACAAACACCACCAAGGGGCGCGGGTGTGAAAGCGGCACTTGGATGGTGCTCTGCAACCTTGTCACCAGCCAGCAGCTTCTGGGTCTGGTGGGATTTGGGCTGGGCTGGGGTGGACCACAAAGCCTGGGGACTCTGGCACCCTCTGTGGCCCTGTCACTGCCAGACCTCTGAGTGCCTGGTGGCTAGTGGGTGGTGATGGAGGCATTTGGGCAGGTGAGCGACCACGGAGCTCAAGGGCTGTGTGTGTGTTTTGCCTGGTGTCTGGCCCCGCCCTGGAGAACACTCAGTTCCGGAGGGCACTGACCCTGTGCCTGCCTTCCCAGCAGCCTTGGCCTGCAGGGAGGAGGAGAGCCTGGAGGTCCCCACCAAGCGGCGCCGGGTCACTGCTGAGATGGAGGGGAAATACATCATCAACATGCCCAAGGGCACCACCCCCCGGACCCGCAAGATCCTTGAGCAGCAGCAGGCGGCCAAAGGTACTGTATGGGCCGTGGGCTGGGCAGGCTTCATCTCTGCTTCTTGCCTTGCACAGCATTGGTCGCGCTCAAGAGTGGTGGCTGAGAAGCAGATTTAAACAGAGGACTGGGGAGTCTTGGGCCCAGGGGACTGCAACAGTGGCTATGGAGGAGGGCAGCACTTCGCATCTGCCCGTCTCAGGGAACTGGGCTCCCCAGCCCTTCTTACCCAGGGGCGTGGGCAGGAGCCAGGGCTGTCATGCCTGTAGCTCGAGAGTGCCCCCCAGTGGGCACCGCTGCTATGAGGCAGAGGAGTCAGTTTGAAATTTAGGCTAAACCTAGGGCCTCTGATGGTTTTCCTTGTAGGGATGGGCTTCATAGAGCAGGATCGCCTTAGAATATTGCATTCGTTCTAGAAAAACTTCCAGTCAATGCAGAAACATATGCGGTAAAAACATACTCTTTCCCCTCACTCCTGTGTCCCATGGCTGTTTCAACCATTTCAAAGCAGCATTTTTCGGGCTGGGGATTTATTTAGCTCAGTGGTTCTGCCACCTGCCTCGCAAGCGCAGGGTCCCGAGTTCGATCCCTAGTACCAAAAACAAACAAAACAAAATCAAAGCAGCATTTTTCTTTTTTAAACACAAGTGACATCATCCTATGGGTATTTTCTTTTAGCTTGCTCTTTTTTCTTTTTTTAATTTTAAAAAATTAGTTAATTGTATTGGTATATTTAGATACACGTAATGAACACATTCATCTTAGGGAATTTGTACCTGTACATATCCTTTTTTTTTTTTGTACTGGGGATCGAATTTGTCAGATAAAAAAGGCTGAAAACCAAGACAAGACCAGAACCACTACAAGCCTTTACTGTAGGGACGATCTGCCAGGCTGGCTCGGAGCAAAGGAGAAAGAGCAATATGGCTAGGACAGGGAGTGTCTTTTATAGTGGCTGGGGAGGGGTTTACAGAAACTGAGGTGGGGTTGAGTGAGGTAGTGGCTAGGGATTGGAAGAGCATGTGACGTTACTAGAAGGGGCTTATGACATCACTAGTGGCTTGTGTCATCACTAGTCGCCAGGAGGTAGCGAGTATCAGGTCACTCGGTGGGAAAAGATGCATGACAGGAAGAAGGCTGTCCTTTTAGTGGGAGAAGCAGGGCATTGTGGGAAGGCAAAGGCTATTCTTTTTACGCAGTGGCCATTTTAAGGGGAGGGACATTCAACAGAACTCAGGTCCTTGCACTTGTGAAACAGGCAGCAGAACCACTGAGCTAAATCCCCAGCCCCATACCTTTTTTTTTTTTAATTGATAAATTTTATATTATCCCATTCCCCCCTCCTCCCTACGTACAAAAGCTTTGTTTCTATTTTTTCCTTCTATTTTTATTTTTTTTCTCATCCCTTCCTTTCTCCCTCCCTCCTCCCTTGTTCCCCTTCCCATTTAAACACTTTTTTCTAGTTTCCCGACATCCATTATACATCTCAGTCCTTATCTCCACTTTTGGTTTTTCACACCAGAGAAACAATGTGATATTTAAATATGTGTGTCTGATTTATTTCATCTGGTAGTGTGGTCTCAAGGTCCATCCATTTAGCTGTAAATGTCTGACGCTCATCCTTCTTTATGGCAGGGTAGTACTCCATTGTATAAAACAACGACATCTTCTTTGTCTTACAGCTTTCTTATTAAGATCTTTTTATAATACTACATTAGATTTTGGTTTATTTAATTTATTTATTTATTTGGAGAAGATCTTCATGTGTCTTCCAGGCTGGCTTTGCACTCACTGTGTAGCCCAGGGTAGTCTCAAACTCACAGTCCTCCTGTCTCAGCCTCCAGAGTGCTGGGTTCATTCTTTTTAAGCGGCCGTTTATTTCCATAGTATTTTCTTTCACACTATGAACATTGTGTTAGTGGAGAATTGAAGTTGTGCTTTAGGGAATGGACTCACTGCCATTTATCAGATTGGGTGAAAGCAGTGGATAAGCATTACCCACACGCATGTCATGAATTTGTGCTGAGGTTCAAGAAGTTCTGGGTGTTAGTTTGTTTTTTTTGTTTTTTGGGTTTTTTTTGGTACTGGGGATCTAACTTAGGTCCTTGCGCTTGCGAGGCAGGCCACTGAACCGCTGAGCTAAATCTCCAGCCCCGGTGTTAGCTTTGCTGTGCTACCTGTGACACTGGCTGGGTGCTGTGGCTGAAGGTTGTTCTCCGCCGGGAGATGCCAAGCCTGAGTGGCATGGGTTGTCCCTGTGGTAGCAGTGCCAACTGCTGTTGTCCTCTCCCTTGGCGTCTGCAGGGTGTGCAGCCTAGGCTGGGCCCCAGGAGCTGCTCGGCCGGGGCTCCCTGATGGCCTCGTTTCCTTCCCAGGTCTGCACAGGACATCTGTGTTTGACCGCCTTGGTGCCGAGACCAAAGCCGACACGACCGTGGGGACCAAGGTGAGTGGAGGACCGTGGGGTGACTCAGGCCTCCCAAACGCTTGTCTGTCCCGGTGTTGTTCCTCACACCTCCGCGCCTCGTCTCCGTGCTCCCCAGCAGCCTCCCCTCCTTTCAAGCCTCAGATTCCTTCTTTGCACTAGCGGCTTCCATCCTAACCGATCCCTGATTTCCAGCCCGGGCCCCAGTCTGTGTGATTTCTGCTGGGTTCCTCCCGCCCATCCTGTCCTAAACTGGCCTCAGCAGCTTGCTCCAAAGCCTCCCCTCCAGCCCTGGCCCTGCAGCAGCCCTGTGTGCTGCTCCTCTGCTGGTGACCCCGAGGCTTTTCGCTGCACTCACAGCACAGTGGCTCTTCCTGCCAGGCCTGCGTTCTCCAGGCCCTAGGGATGGTGTGTAGTTGGGAGCACGCCCTGGAACCCACTGTACCTGGCTTTGTGGCCTTGGCCATATCACTTAAGCCTTCTCTGCCTCAGTTTGCGCATCTATTCTTTTTTTTTTTTTGGTACCGGGGATCGAACTTGGGACCTTGTGCTTGCGAGGCAGGTAACAGAACCACTGAGCTAAATCCCCGGCCCTTTGCTGACCTGTACCGGCTCATGGCGTGGTGCTGGGGGTCTAGGGCATAGTAAGCACTCCTTAGATGTCACCGTTGAGGGACTGTGCAGAGCCCCCAATTGGATTTCCTCCCACACATCCCTTGCTCACCAGGACACACGCTGGCTGTCTCACCTCCACAGTCTTACCATGGGGCAGCAGTCACACTCAGGGTCATGTGCCTGGAAGATCCAGCCATGTAAACAGCTTGGCACAAGTTACTGCTCTGGCCTCGGGGACCTGGCACGTGCACTTCTCTCTGCTTGTTCATCTGGAAGGCCTGGCTTCACAGTGGGGGCCCTCAGAGAAAGTCCTGCCAACTCAGAGAGCAGATGAGCTGAGCCTCTCTGCTGCCTGCTAGCGCCCCGTTCTTCCTGAAACGTCTAGCTTCCTACTTACAGAATGACTGGTGTCATTTCTGGGGCCAGTTAGACTGTGAGCCAGAGGGATAGGCCTGGGACTGTCCTAGCCATCACCATGTCCCTGGCACGGCACAGCCTAGGGCCAGGAATGCAGTTGCGATCGGGAAGTATTGGCTGAGCTTTTCCCCGTGCTCAACTGTTGACCTAGCCAGGGTCTTGCCTGGCCTCCCTCCCTGGCCTCCCTCTGTGAGACCCTCTTCTGTTCAGCTCTCAGATCTCCGTCTCAGCTGTGCCCTCTCCCTGCTAACCCTCCCTGACTTCCAGCAAGGCCAAGTGCTTCCTGGGTCCACCAGGCCTATGCCCTCACTGTGTAGGATGCCAGCACAGAGGAGGCAGGGTGTTGTGTGACTAGATGACTCCCTGTCCTGTCTCTGACCTTCACAGCCCACGGGAGTTTTCAGCCGCCTGGGGGCCACCCCAGAGATGGATGAGGATCTGGCATGGGACAGCGACAATGACAGCAGCAGCTCTGTCTTGCAATATGCTGGTGTCCTGAAGAAGCTAGGACGGGGCGCAGCCAAGGCCAGTCCCCAGCCGGCACTGACTGTCAAAGCTAAGGCCACAAGCTCGGCGCCACCAGCTGCCGCCCCAACTCTGAGGCGCCTGGCCCTTTCCTCCCGCCCTGGGCTCGAAAGGAAGTCGGAGTCCAAAGTCAGCATCATCCAGAGACTGGGCAAGGCCAACCTTGTGCCCGAGGCCCAGGACAGCCAGGTCACGAGCACCAAGAGTAAGTCTTCGGCTGAGGTCAAGGTCACCATTAAGAGGACTCTGGTGGGGCCCCGGGTGAGCAGCTCCAGCGAGGGCCTCGGTGCCCAGATGGACCATGCAGGCACCGTGAGCGTGTTCAAAAGACTGGGCCACAGGACCTTCTAGCCCACATGAGGGCAGGGTGTCAGCCTTCGGGCTCCTGGCTCCCTCTGAGTCTGCCTCGAGGGTCCGCTCGCCTCCTGCCAGCCCTGGATGGCACTGCTTGTCTCCTTCAGGTGTCGGTGCTGGGCCCGAGCCCTCTGGGCGTCCCCCGGTTTTCCCAGGCTGGGTGGTCGCTGTGGCCTGGCCTTGCCTGCTCTGGGACTTTCCCTTCTCTCCCGCCCTCTGTTCTCTGCTCTTTGGCCGTGGCCTTGGCAGAACCCACTTTCTCCCTCTGCAGAGTGCCCAGTGCCTTCTCCTCTCCCCCAGCCCCTTCCTCCCTCTCAGCAGCATCTGCTGCCCGTTCCTCAGCTTCCTGTTCTCTGCCCATCGAGGGGGCCTTTCCTGGGGGCTCCTGGCTGCCCATACCCTGGCTCCCCTCGCTCCTCTGTCCTCCCCTGCTGCTGTAACATCACTCTCTCCTCTCTTCACCCTGTTCATTTCTCTTCTTTTTCTGTCCCTGTGGCAAGGCCCGACTGTCCGCTGTGTCCTGCCCGACCCTTCTGCACCTCCGGCCTCCCAGCGGCCCCCTCGTCGGCGGTGGCGTCGAGCCTGTAGAGACTGTTAGCTGCCCTCCGCTCCCAGGCTGGAGGGACCCAGGCCTTGGGCTGCACCTGGGGCACCTCCATTTTCCTGCCCTGGGCGTCTTTCTCTCTCAAAGTCTGTGGTGGGTGGTGGGCAAGGGCAGTGGGAAGGGAGGCCAGTTTGGAAAGAGAAGACAACAGCTGTTTTAATATATTTTTGTGACTTCCAAACTGTTTCCTTTCCCTCCTTCAGGGTAAGCCACAGCTCTGTTTCCATACCAAAAACAGTGTGGATTGGGACCCCGGGGGAGGACAGGCCCTCCTGTCCTGGAGGGTAGTGGAGGGTAGTGAATGGTCCCTGACACCATTCAGTGAGGCCCTTCCCCCACAAGCTGCAGTGTTCTGTCACTGCCCTACCGGTGCATTCCTGTGCTGCCTGTCTGCCTGTGGGTGGCTTTCCCACCAGTGGGCTTCGTGGGGGGCTTCCTGTGGGTGTGGCTGGTTCTAGACGCTGGGGAGCCTGGGTGGGCAGTCCAGGGCCCGGGCAGGGAGACAGCTGTCTGGTGATGTCCAAAGAATCCGAGGGCCAGGAGTGGCCAGGGCCTCCACGGTGTGCAGTGGGAAGGCCTTTCAGAGGATGCATTAGCTGGATGGAGCATGCGAGTGGCTCTGTGCAGGAGGAGGAATTCTGGCAAGGGACAGCGAGGGGCTCAGGCTCTAAGACGGGATTACGAACAAGGCTGGGGGTGAGGTGGGGCTGGGGGCACGGAGACCCAGCGGGAAGTGTAGATATTGGCCTGAGAGCCCGGGGTATGGGAGCGGGTGGGCAGGGCAGGGGTGATGGGAGCAGCCGTGTGTGGTGACCCAGGGCTCTGGCTGCCGTGAGGAGAGTGGGAGCCTGCCGTTGTCAGGCTGTGCCCCAGGTTCTGGGCGTGGGTGTGAAGGGCAAGACTTCTGGCTGAGGGACAACAGGAATACTCGGTTGTCCCCACGAGGACTCGGCTAGGCCTTCATGGGACTAGTTGGAGTCACACATCAGAGGCTGGCAAATGCTGGGGATGTCAGATCCCAGGGGCTGCCCTCCACGAAGTGCCACCAGGAGGCGCTCTACATACGTGTGCTTTCCTGGCTGAGCTTCCGGCCTTTTTGTTTTCCCAGGAGTTTTCTCTAGTTTTCCTTCATGGGTGATTTTAACAGCCAGATGTGCTAACTGGGTGGGTCCCAGTTACTATATTTAAGAGCACATGGGCCGAGGATTTAGCTCAGTGGTGCTGGCGCCTGCCTCACAAGTGCAAAAAAACCCAAAACAACAACAACAACAACAAAACCATGCACATGGTGACTTGCTGTGTGTAGGAACTGCAGTGATACGGATCTTACATAGCTTACTTACTGCGGCAGGTAAGCTCTGTTGTTGCTTTTTATAGAGGGGTCAAGAAGAGCATAAGCTGCTGAAGGTCTTTTCCAGCTGGCCTGTGGCAGAGACCAGGCTTGAGCTCAGGGTGCTGACCCCAGCATCCTCATCCTTTAACTCCTACCACTGTGTCTCCTCCCTTGCCCATCTGAAATGTGGCCCTTTGGCTGGGAGGCAGGTCCTAGCATGGTGGTTTTGGATTCTTCGGAGTAATCTATGTGTGTGACCCCTCACCCCACTGAGGACTTTTGCTAGGAAGCATTCTCAGCCTTAGGGTGCCACGGGTCTTGGAGTCATGGCCCATCCTCTGCTTTTCTGCGTCCAGATCCCAGAGATGTGTGTGTAACGCGTACATGCGTGGCGGGTGAATGAGTAGTGAGTGTGCACATACAAGTGACCACATATTAACAGCCCTCTTGGTGTATTTAACTAGTCTCTTTTTTGAAGGATATTCAGATTGTCTCTAATCTCTTGCTATTGTTAAGTTGTGCTGCAGTGAATGACCTTTACAGGTGGGATTGATTCTGGGGTGAATTTAAAGACTTTCGTGATGGACTGTCCTTTTTCTTTCTTTTCCTCCTCCCTTCCTTCCTTTTTTTTTTTTCTCCCTTCCACCGGGGATCAAATTCAGGACCTTGTGATTGTGAAGCAGGCGTGGCACCACTAAGCTAAATCCCTGACCGCTTCTGGGTTTTTTTTTTTTTTTTTTTTTTTTTTTGGTACTGGGGACCAATAAACTCAGGACCTTGTGCTTTCAAGGCAGGTGGCAGCACCACTGAGCTAAATCCTTCCTAGTCCCTTGTTTTTGTTTCTTGGGACAAGGACTCACTACATAGTTCAGGTTAGCTTTGAATTTATATGTAGTCCAGGCTGGCCTTGAACTTGAGGCGATCCTCCTTCCTCAGCCTCCCTAGTGCTGAGATTATAGGTGTGCATCACTACGCCTGGCTTCCTCTGGTTTTTTGGAGACAGGGTCTTGCTAAGTTGTCGAGGCTGGACTTGAATTGTGATCTTCCTGCCTCAGATTCTTGACTGCTGGGGTTAGAAGCTTGTGCCCCCACACCCTGTCCAGTGATATCCTTTAAGTGCACACACTGGTAGTGAACAATAGCAGATGCAAACTAACCCCCACACTGTCCAGTGATATCCTTTAAGTGCACACACTGGTAGTGAACAATAGCAGATGCAAACTAGACTCTCCCCAAGATCACTGGCATTTGTTAGGTGACATTTACACAGTGATTAGTCCATTTCAAAAAGGAAAGAGAAACAGTTGGATTCCTGTTTGGAGACCCCTGGAGAAATGGGGCCAGGAGATGCTGAGAACTGACCTTGTCCACCACCTCAGTGCAGTGAATAAGCACTGAATAAGTGCGTGGCTAAGCTAGTAGACTTGTTGGATCCCCACAGTAACCTCTAACTCTTTATCTGCATGAGGTGCTGGAGGCACAGTGAGCCCAGGGTGGAGTCACCTCTGGCAGCTCACAGCAGTAGATGCTAAAACAAGATGGGAACCCATGGTACCTGCGGCAGGTGGCCAGGGGCCAGGCCAGCCCGGTGCTTCCTCCCTCCAGTGCCTGAGGCCCATGCTGCTGAGATGTGCCAGATGCCCAACCTCCCTTTAGGGATTTGAGCTGACTGGGTAAATGTTCCTCCTCCACATTCACCTATGAAGTCATCACAGGGTCCCAGAGGGAGCAGACATTTCCCTATCCTGACTATGGCCTGCTTTACAAACTCCAAAGTGGAGCTCCACGGACCTCCAATAACAAAACTGGTGGGCATTGTGGTACATTCCTATAATCCCAGTTACTCTGGAGGCTGAGGCAGGAGGATTATAAATTGGAGGGCAGCTTGGGAAACAGTGAGACCTTGTCTCAAAATAAAAAAGGGATAGGTTGGGGCTTAGCTCAGTGGCATTGCACCTGCCTCACAAGCACAAGGTCCTGAGTTCGATCCCCAGTACTGCAAAAAAATTAAAAATAAAAAAGGGCTGAGAATGTAGCTTAGTGGTAGAGCTCTTGGGTGGTATATTCAAGGCCCTGGTTTCAATCTCCAGTACGGAGGGGGTAAAATTGCCATTAAAACCTCTTTATTTTTAAGCCAGCCACAGTGGTATATGCCTGTAATCCAAGAACTAGGGCGGCAAAGGCAGAAAGATCACTCCAACTTTAAGGCGAGCCTGGGCTCCATAGTGAGACTTTGAGGCCCTGTATCAAAAAACAAAAAACTGGGCTGGGGATTTAGCTCAGTGGTTCCTCCGTCTGCCTCATAAGCACAAGGTCCTGAGCTCGATCCCTAGTACCAAAAAACAAAACACCCAAAACCAAAAAACAATAAAAAAGAAGAACAGAGAGTTACCATGTACCCTCAGCCAATTTTCCCTATGATTAACATCTTACCTGGTATGTTTGTTACCATTAGTGAACCAATATGGCTCATTAGTATTAATTGAAGTCCACAGGGCTGGGGATTTAGCTCAGTGGTTCCTCCACCTGCCTTGCAAGTGCAAGGACTTGAGTTCGATCCCCGGTACCCCCCCAAAAAATAAAAACTAAATAAATAAAATAAAGTCCACAGTTTGTTCAGAATGCCTTAATTTTATCTAATGTCTTTTTCTGTCCCAGGATCCTGTCCAGGATACACCATATCACATTTGTCAAATCTAACTTTTTTTTTTTTTTTTTTTTGAGACAGGGCCTCACCATGTAGTCTAGGCTGGCCTTGAACTCATGGTGATCCTCCTGCCTCAGCCTACAGAATGTTGGGATTACAGGCGGATACCTGCACACCCGGCTCTAACCTTTTCTCACAGCATTGGGGGTCCCATTGCTTCAGTCAGATTAAGGGAGAGGTCACGGACCTCACCTCTCAGTGAGTTGCATGTCCATGTTTCAGGGTGAGGAGAGCGTGTGGAATGACAGGTTGCATTGTGACCATCTTGGAAAATCAGATATTGATGTTGGGTGTACTCTACTGTATGTTGGCTGTGGAGTACTGTACCTCAGGAGAAATGAACTAACGCTGCACATATCAACACGATAAACCAGAACCCTGAGTGACAAAAGCAATTGCAGAAGAATATGTGGTTTCAAAATATGCAAAACAGGGCTGGGGATTTAGCTCAGGGGTTCTGCTGCCTGACTCCTCGCAAGCACAAGGTCCCGAGTTCGATCCCCAGTACTAAAAAACAGAACCACAAAAAATTATGCAAAATAATGCATATTAATGAGGGATCCTTAAAATATAGCAAATGTGTAAATTGCTTGGGAATGGTAAACTCCAAAGGCAGACAAGTGGTTTCCAATCAGACAAGTGCCACGAGGATTCAAAGTAATGACTTTGAAGCCAGGTAGTGGCCATGGCTGTTCATTGTTATCTTTCATGCTCTTGAGGGTATCTCTTAATTAAAATATAATTCTGACAGGGTGTGGAGGTGCTTGCCTGTGATCCCAGCACTCAGGAGGCAGAGGCAGGAGGATTGCCGCCAGTTCAAGGCCAACCTGGGTTACACAGTGAGTGCAAGGCCAGCCCGAACTGCAGAGTGAGACCTTGTCTTCAAAACAAAACAAAACAAAGAAAAAAATATAGAATCCTCTCTCCTGTTCTGAGTCA